CTTCACGAACACCGTGTACTCGGGCTGCGCGAACGCCGGCGCGTTGTCGTTCACGTCGGCCACCTCCACGGACACGCTGGCGGTGGCCGATAGTGAAGGCGAGCCCCCGTCCCGCGCGGTCACTACTACAGTATAGTCCGACACGCTTTCGCGGTCCAGGGAACTGTCCAGCACCAGCGAATAGTAATTCTTGAAGGTGGACACCAGCTTGAAAGGGACATGGGGTGTTAGTGAGCAGGTCACCTGCCCGTTCACGCCAGAGTCACGGTCGGACACGCTGATCAAGGCGATGACGGTGCCCACCTGAGCATCCTCACGCACAGGAAGAGACAGAGAAGTGATAGTAACTTCTGGGGCATTATCATTTATATCTAGTACTTCCACCAAAATGGTACAATGACCCGCCATTGGAATATTCCCTTTGTCAATTGCCTCCACCGATATTTCATACAATTTATTTTCTTCGAAATCCAGTTTACCTTTTGTCCTAATTTCTCCACTGTTGGGATTTATGATAAATGCATTTAACACTACAGGCGATACAGGCCTTCTAAATGAATAGATTATGTCTCCATTTATACCATCATCAGGATCTGTGGCATTTAGCTTGATCACTAATGTTCCATTAAATAGGTTTTCTAAAATTCTCACCTTGTAAATGGATTGGTCAAATTCTGGGGCGTTGTCATTCGCATCCAAAATTGTGATCACCAGCTGAACTGTGCCAGTCAGCTGGGGTTTACCTCCATCATTGGCTGTCAATAATAAACTATGTTCCTGAATTTCCTCTCTGTCCAATGATTTCCTCAACACAAGTGTTAACGAAGACGTTTGTTCACGATTGTTTTGTGGGTCCAAAGCGAAATAATCGTTGGGATCGATTCGGTAGGTCAAGGCCGAGTTTACTCCAATATCTGCATCGGATGCGCCATCTAGTGGAAACCGAGTATCCGGAGGTCTTGTTTCTGCAATGATTATTCTTTTCTTACTTTCTGGGAACACAGGTGGATTGTCGTTAATATCTTTCACCTCCACCTCCACATGGAAAACCTGCAGCGGCCTCTCCACGATCACCTCCAGGTGGATGCTGCACTCCAGGCTCCGCCCGCACAGCTCCTCGCGGTCGATCCGAGAATTCACAAACAAAATGCCATTCTGCAGATTTACCTCCAGAAGGTCCCCGCGGTCTTTGGACGCCACCCGGAACAGACGCGGTACCAGCTCCGCCAGCTCCAGCCCCAGGTCCTGAGCGATGCGGCCCACGAAGGTGCCGTGTTTGACCTCCTCGGGAACCGAGTAGCGGACCTGGCCGCTCCCAGCCTCCCAGACTGAGAGGAGCAGAAGCGAGAGCAGCAGACGCCGGGCTCCTGGGCCTCCTCTCCAGGAAAACAGCATGGTACACTTAAAAGGTTTCAGAGATACCTAAAGTGTATAGAATACTCTACCTCACACTGACTCTCAAGGTCCAATTTTACAGACTTCTATTGCAGGAAGATTCGCTAGAGGTTTTCCACTGTATGCCAAATCTGCAGGAAGGATGAAGCGGAGGCTCTTTCTTCGGGGAAACGTTCTCAGTCAAGAGCGACACCATGCGCATGAATGTGTAAGTGTAAAAATGATTCCGTCTTCATACTTGCTGTAGGTTTATTTTCTTGCATTTAGTGACGTTTTTCACTGCGAATTCGTAGTTGAAAATTAAATATTTTTCTCTCCAGTAACGGTAAATCATTGTATTCTTCTCAGCATTGGATGCTAGTTGAAAATTCGTTGATGAGTCCTATTTTTTCACAAATGCACGTCTGCATGTGTAAAACCCCCGTGAAGAATTTCAAGAGGGGGGATACTGTACATTCGCTTTTGGAAATCAGCCCCTAGTTCTGCAAAGCTTTGTTGGTTTCGGTGGGAATGTCCTTATCCTGTAATATTTTTTTGAGACCTGCTCACACATAGCATTGACTCCAAATAGAAACAACCAATTACATATAAAACGACAAACATGGAAAATATTGGCAAGTAATATACCAGATTTCAAATAAATTACACCATATTTATAAATGCTCCCAAATATGACTGTGAAGTGTGGATAAAATAGGATGAAATATTTGTATTTGAAGGAAGTGTCCAATGTGTGTATGAGTTTATGTGTTGAGTGTGTGTGTGCATAAAAACACATAATTTTTTAAAACATATGATAATTTAGACCATTTAGATATAACAATTTTTTAAAGTTCTGGATTCTCTTTGTATAAAACATGCCAAGAATTAGCATCCTATGTATTTGATAGAATTTAAACTAACAATAGGTTAAACTTCCCTCTTCCCTTCCCCATCTTACACCATCACTGGGAAAAATCTTATTATCATTTAAATTGACTGATTGTCCAACCAACAACATGTTGACACAGATGTTAACACATCTTTAACAAGGAAGAAAGGAAGGGAATCTTGTTTATCTATTGCTCTGTCTTTATCAGGCCCCAAAGTTCCAGACCAAATAGTACTATGAAACATATAGCATAATTCCAAGAATTCTCTTGCCTGTTCTGTGCACAGCTCTATAGGAAATAATAGTTGGGTTCATTTCTGTATTTTTGCTCCCCTCTGAAAACTTGAGTAGAGTATTTGGTATTCTCTTACCCTCATCCTCCTGTCTTTTACTTTTGCTAACATAGCTTTACTCATGATGGAAATAGTCCCTTGATTCTTTCTAATTGTTCTTGTAACTTGTCTCACTTACCTCTCCACCTAATCTAGACTACATAGTCAACCATTTAAAATATGTCCTTCCACACACCCTGGAAGCACTCACCTACTGATATTATTCCTCTAACATTTTCTTTAGCTTTCAACACACAGCCTGATATCCATTTTCTCCTTTTCTCTTATTGAGCATCTTAGTATAAGAAAGTCACTTAACCATGATGACTATATTCTCTACAGATTTACTCTCAACTTTACCTTGATTGGGTCCTCAAGTGAATTCATAATTAACTTTTCCCTCATGCCTACAGAGATTCTTCTGTATTTTCCCCTCTCTTCTCAAATTCCCAACCTCATTCCAACCACCTGATTTCCAGATGATTTACCCAGAGAGATAAGTCATCAGTATGAACATAATGGCTCTCTTCTTACCCCAACTTTTTTTCTTTCTAGTTTCTATTTTCATTCCCTGCTAAGGAAAAATGGTCCTCACATTTAAGGCCAACCCTACGTTCTTTAAAAATTGTTCTCTGTTCTATTCTCCTTCTATTTTTCATCTTCATTTTCATTCTTTCTCTGCCTGTCTCACCTTCAGCATCTTCTTCACTTGCTTCTTTCCCTCATACTACAAAAATACTCAAACATCTTTATATAAACGTCCTACTTATGAAAAAAGTCTATTCTTTTATCTCCTCTTCACCTCTAACATTTACTATTTACTTCACCTCTAACACACTTTAAGTTTTATTTCAGTAATATGTTGTCTAATAATCTTATGATTTTAAGCCTACTGTAGTAGGTTGAACGGGCCCCCTGCCAAAGATATGCCGATATCTTAATCCCTGGAACCTGTGAATATCACTTTATGTGGCAAAATATGTGATTAAGTTAAGATCTTGAGAGGAGGCAATTATCCTGGATTATGCACATGGGCCCTAATGTACAATCACATGTATCCTTATAAAACAAGCATATGGAGGACAAGAGGAGGCAATGTGACCATGGAGGCAGAGACTGGAGTGGTATGGATATAAGCCAAGGAATTCTGACAGCCATCAAAAGCTGGAAGAGACAAAAGATTCTCCCTTGGATCTCCAGAGCAGGGACAGCCTTGCCAACACTTTGATTTTGGACTCCTGGTCTCCAAAACTATGAGAGAATAAATTTTTGTTGTCTTAAGCCATCCAGTTTTTGGTAAGTTGTTACAGCAGCCCCAGGAACTAACACACCTACTTACCTAAATTCTTTACTTGGACACATTGCTTTTCATTTTTCAATCTCTGTTTGGTAATTTTATCCTTTCATGGATTTATTTTTTCCCTAAGGGAATTACAAATCTACATGCGTAATCTCCCCTGAGTTCCAGAGTCATATTTCCAATCACAATGGTATTCTCCTAGAACCTCAAGAGTAATATTTTCCTAAATATTCCTCTCTATCCCCTAGCTGCATAAACACACACAAACTGTTTTTCCAACTCTATTCTGCATCTTCGTTAAAGGCAATCTCATCCTCCCAGGTGACTGAGCTAAAAAAGTTAGTGTCATCTTATACTTTTTATTTATCTTATCATTATATTGAGTCTGTCATCATCTGACTGCTTCTCCTTTGCCAATGCCGCTTGCACATGTGTCTCTTAATCCATTTCGACTGTCATAATTTAAGTCTTCTTACTTGATATCTAAAGTATTATAAAAGATTCTTTACTAGCTTTTCCTACCTTCAGAATCTCCCCTGCTCCAGTCCTTCAAGTACACATTCACTAGAACAAAGTGCTCATTTATTCACACTTATCTTTCTATCTGTAATACCTTCCTGTTGAAATTTTATCTATCCTTCAGGCACTCTTCAATAAAATACTGCTTAACCTCTGGAGCCCACTCCAACTTCTACAATGGAAGGAATCACCCAGGCAGTTTATTTCAATTTCAATAGAATATATTTATTTCAAAATTACTGATTGAACATATACTATTGGGTTGTCGGAAAAGTCATGACACAGTTTTGCAACGAAAAACAGAGAAAAAATACGTCATGGTTTTTCTGACAACCCAATATATTCCATGTCCCAAACTAAAGATATGTAAGACAGTAGTAGGTAAAAAGCAGGTAAGTTTAATGCCTTCACTCCCAGGCTGAGGAATTTAAGGCTTTACACTATGGTCAAAGAGAAGCCTCTGAATATTTTTGTGGAAGAAAGTTACAACAGGTAAAATGCACTTTAGAACATTCACTTGATAATAGTCTTGGAGCAGTTAATATGCTATAAAGGGCTTGAGATCCTCCAAAATTGGGTTTGAGCTACTGCTCACTATCTATGTGGCTGAAGCTTCAGGTTTCTCACAAGTAAAATGACAATGAAAAATACTGTACCTGTACATAGGGCTGACTTGATAATTAAATGAGATAATACAATTAAATATCTTAGCACAGGTCCTAGAAAATAATCGGGGGATAATAAGTATTCTTATATTTTATTGAACAAAAAAGTCATGAATTGTAAGGTGCACCATTACTTGTGTGCTACCAAGAAAGAAAAACAGCTAGGTAAATTATTGTAAACCATCAATTATAAGATGCATCCTAATTTGGGTGGTTATTATAACATTTTAAATATGAAATGACTTTGTTATATTTTATGTAAATAAGGATGGTAAAGTAGCCCATCCCACTTCAAAGAAAGAAGGCATTCCCTATGAACAACAGAAAATATTTCATCTTAGAATTAATAACATACAATTATTTTGTTATAATACCTGGAAGAAGATTGTACTGAAATTAGAATAGGGATCAAGTACACTATTTTACAAGCCTATGTACATAAATAATAGAAAAGGAATCCAGATAATGGTATTTGGGAACTCTGTATTAATCTTGCAAATATCTGTAATCATAAAATTAAGTTAAAATTAAAAATAAATTTAAGAGTTACCAAACACCTAAACAATTTTTACTGTGGAGTACTAATATTTTTGAAGGCTAATCATTCATAGATAATAGGAAAAATGATAGAACTAGAAAACTTTAAAGTGTGGTGATCAATGGCCTGCAGTTCATCTGTATATATCATTTGTGAATACATGAAAAATGGGGCAAATAACATGAAAATTCAAAATGACTAAGAATGATTGATTCTACCACAGAGGAAGAGCTATTGACCGTTTAAAGGATAACATGAAGGGGGGAAAAAAAAGAAAAAGAGGGTGTATTTATACCTTAACAAAAAGTTCTTGAAGGGAACAAATAGATATCAATCACTTACTTCACTGGATGTATTTAAACAATCTTCTTGTGACTGAGGAAGACTGGGGCTGAAGGCCATGAGGTCGGCCTTG